CCGGCTATTTTTTGGTTGCAGCCGTCATTGTTGTTTGGCGGGTCCAGGCTGGGGATTCGAACCCACCACCTTAGGTGTACGTGGCTGGCGCCTCAGCCTGTTGAGCTATAGGCGCCGAGCCCAGAAAACCTTTTTAAAATTATTGACACCAGGGTCCCCTACTCAGATTCTAATTTGATTGTTCTGTGGTGCAGTGCAGGTGTCAGGGTTCTTTAACGCATCCAGGTGATTCTGATAAGCACCAGGGCTGAAAGCCACTGTCTAGATTAGAGGGACTTCATACTTCCACACAACTTAAAAGAATCAAGAATCAACCAGCTCTTTACTAAAAGTATAGGAAAATGTTGCCTACTTCTCTTTCTACAGAGAATATTATCTGTGGATCAAATGGAGATTGAAGGACCAGATTGGAAATAGTCCAGTCTTTTATTTCTGGTAAAGGATATGCCAAACACTAGAGTCTGTTAAATTTGAAAAACCTATAGTTTGCACTGTTTGGAGACACAACAGTAATTAGCTCAACTGTGTTTTAATTTCATTTTGGTTAGAGGAAAAACTAGGAGGCTAGAAAGTGCTGTAAAAAGTGTTCTGTGTGCATCCTACAGAATTTTTCCCACATTTCTCTTGTCACTTCTGCCTTTTAGCTTATTTGCAGCTAGGCAGTATTTCTTCAAAGTCATTGATTCCCATTATTACAATGTACGATACAAAGGGATCTTTAATTTCCTAATGCTTAGACAACCAGTGGGCTGCAACCAGTGGGTGTGTTCTTGTTTGGTTGTGTAAGTGAGGGATCCAGATGCCTTCAGAATGCTCCTAAACTATAGGTAAACTAAAAAGCCTTCTGAACAGCGGCCACCATTGAATTGCTCATTGGGTCTCCCTCCAGAGGGCTCTTACTTGACACACAGTTCTCAGAAACGTCTCTGTCTGGTTTTATTTATCAGCAGTGAGGAGCTATTTGAGGTTAGGCACTGCTCAGTGCCTAACATTAAAAGGAAAAGACAGAAAAACAAATGATTATATACAGAATCACCAAAACCAGCTATTCATAGTCATTTAAGAGTAGGAACAAAGCATCTCTACTCTCCCACCGACCGTAGTGAATATAAAATATTATGGTAAGCTAAAGATTACTATGTTAAAGTCAAAATTGGTTCTAGAAGGAATCCTCTTTAAAAATCTGTAAAAAATGCACTTAGAAGCTCTAGATAATTTAGTCACATATAAACTGAGTGGCATATAAAAATAAAAATACCTAAATCATGTTTCTAATGAATTTGAATGTACCACATATAATGTGAATTTTTGAAATCATATTAATATGTATGTGCTTTTCTTAACAGCTTTTAACCTGGAGACTTGTCGGCTTATGGTTTCAATGCTGGATGTATCCTTTACCGTGATTGTTGCCTAGAACATTTGTTTCTTGCAAAAAATTTCCTTCCTTAAGGAATTCATCTCAGAATTAATACCCAACATAAAATGACTACTCAAAAGCTGTCTGAAATAGCTTTTAATTACCCAATGACATAAAAGACATTTTATAGAAAAGATACTTGCACTGAAATAATTATTGCAGAACAATTAACAGTTGCAGAGATGTGGAAACAACCCAAATACCCATCAATACATGTATGGATTAATAAAATGTGGTGTGTATATATACATATACATGGAGTTCTACTCAGCCATTAAAAAAAATGGTGATCTGATGTCTTTTACAACAACCTAGATGTAACTAGAGATCATTCTTCTAAGGGAAGTATTGTAAGAATGGGAACACAACCACATTACTCAACACTAAACTAGAACTAGTTAAGCAACACTTATGTACAGATATGGAAGTAAAACTCAATGGGAATCAAGTAGGGGAAGGAGAGAGAAGGAGCTGGGTTAATTCACACCTACCAAGTACAGTGCACACATTTTCTGGGTGAAGGGCATGCTTACAACTTTGACCTGAAATGTGCAAAAGCAAATTATGTAACCAAAATATGTGATAATTCTGAAATAAATTGTTTAAAAAGGAAATTAGTTGAGTAAATGGAATGTTCATTGTTCAGGAATTCAAAGAAGCATCAGAGTAGAACCAGTATAGAAACTAGAGTGTCAGGAGAGCATTTCCTTTGACATTGATGTCTCTGTGTGACTCACACATGAGGCTTTTTCACTTACCAGTAACTGAACTCAGCTAGTGCTAACCCTGTGGTGTATTCTGTCCCACCTCTTTTTCCAGAAGTGAAATTCTTGGGTCTGGGAAGACTAAACAAGAGAATGTTGGTGACAAAGATGACCCTAGGATAAAAGGGGAACAAAACGGCATAGCCTAAGGCACCCAGAAAGTGCAGCCCAGCTCCAGTAACAAAACTGTTTTACCAGTACCTCTCAATGGTGATGTTATTTCCTTGTAGGTTATCTTTTTCTTGTAGTAAAAATAGGTACTCAGAGCTTTTTCTCTATAGCAGTAGTTCTGAATCTTCCAAATGCTGCGACCCATTAATACAGTTCCTCAAGTTGTGGTGATCCCCAACCATAAAATTATTTTCATTACAATAATTTTATGGTTGGGGGTTACCACATGAGGAACTGTATTAAAGGGTCGCAGCATTAGGAAGGTTGAGAACCACTGCTCTGTAGACTCATTACTTTTTTGTATCATTGTTCTCTTTATTATATTATACAAAGAAATTATACAAATTTTACACTATTTTTAGCTGAAAGAACATTAAATTTGCCATATCCTTCATCTTTCATTTAATCACTGGAAAATATTACACAATAAAGCTCTGATCCTTGATTATAGTTCAGAGGGATATGTCTGGCACAATGGGCTTCAATGAATTTAAAGAACTCTGGTCTGTACTGAATGGCTGGAGACAGCACTTCCTCAGTTTTGACAGTGATAGGAGTGGAACAGTGGAGCCTCAAGAATTGCAGAAGGCCCTGACAACAATGGG